GAACCAGATAGTGGTCTCTAAATATTAATGCTTCTTGTTTTTTGCCTTCATCTAAAGAAACTAATCTTTGAAATTCAAGCATTTCTGCAAGAACTGAACTTTTGTACTTTGACTGTTCGGAATTATCGTTTATCGGTTTATTAATAATTGCTTGATGAAGAATATTTGTTTCTTCAGCGGTTAATAATGGCTCAATTCGATATTCGATCGGAAGTATTTCAGGTGGTTCAGAAATTTTTTTACCGATTGTTTTCAGCGATGACTCCGATCCATGCAAATTTTGATCTTGATTGAGATTCTCGATTTTTAAAGTCATATTTGATTGTTCATCCGTTTTCATTTTAGATTTTAATTTTGTTTCTTTTTTCCTCAACTTCTCTAATTTTTCTGCTAATTTTTTTTCTTCTTTTAGTTTATTTTTTCGTTGTTTTTCCAATTTTTCTTTAATATTTTTCTCGGTTTTTTCCCGATCTTTTCCAAACCTTTCATTTTCTTTAGCCAGTGCTTTTTCCTTTGTTTTCAAATCTTTTTTCATTTCCTTTTTTGCTTTTTCTATTTGATTTTTTAAGTCTTTTTCTTGAGATTTAAATTCTTTTTCAGCTTTTATTAATTCTTTCTCTATATCATTGCACTGTTGATCAATCTCCTTTTGTTTTTCGGCATCAGTCAACATTTTTTTATTTCTCATTCCAAAAAGTTTTTTTTTCGTTCGTAGCGGCTTTAATTCTTCAAGTTTTTTCCTATATTCTGCCTGTATAATGTCCCATTGTTTAGTAAGAGCTGCTTCTTCAGCAATAAGACCAAAGTATGGATATTTAAAACCGTTTTTGTATGACTCCTTTGCCATTTCCGAGAATATTGGAATTCCATTTACTGATTTGTGCAAAATTATTTCTTTTCGTCTTAACGGTTCAGGTGGAAGTTGAGTTAAATTAATTAATTGTTCATCATCTAGATCAGACAAAACTTTGGATGGTTCCAATAGTCCATTTAAGTTTTGATCTTTTTGCACATTTATTACATCTTCCTCGTTTTGTAAGAATTCTGGTGATAACTTTCCGCTTGAAATGGATTCTTTCGATTCGTCTTGCATTTTGTCTTGGTGCAAAACGCTCGGTGGAATTTTTACTGTCCCTTTCATCTCACGAGCTTCTGTTGTTTTCGATTGGATTTTTTCTTGTACTGGCTCGCTGACTGTTGTGGGTGGAATTTTGTCTTCGTGCGAATTGTTTGGTTGAATGCTTAATGTTGTTCCTTTTATCACTTGAGTTTCTGATGTTTTCGATTCGATTTTTTCTGGTACTGGCTCGCTGACTGTTGTGGGTGGAATTTTGTCTTCATGAGAAACGCTTGGTTGAATGCTTAATGTTCCTTTTATCGATTGGGTTTCTGCTGTTGTCGGTTTGATTTTTTCCTGTACTGGCTCACTGACTGTTGTGGGTGGAATTTTGTCTTCGTGCGAAACGCTTGATTGAATGTTTAATGTTTCTTCTATCCCTTGAGCATCTGCATTTTTCGATTCCAAATTGTGCTTTACTGACACACTCACTGGAATTTTGTCTTTTTCAATTTTCGTCACTTCTTCTGCTTTATTTTTTCGCCATGGAAACCATTTATTCTTCTTTGTTGTCGTATCGGATTGTTTGTTATAATATGATTCTGAGTATTTATTGAAATCTTTCCAGAATTCTTCTTGTTTCGAATCTTCATTGATTCTTGACCAGATTTTTTCTTTTAACTTTTTCATCTTTTGTTTTTCTGGATTCTTTCTAAATAGGTTAGCGACTTGTTTTTTTAAACCGATTCCTTTTCCCTTCTCTGCCTTAGGAGGCTCATTTTTATTGCTCCCAATACCTACTAACAAACCCAATTTTTTAACTAATCCAGAATTTTTTGATTTTTCTCCTTCTATAATCATTTCAGTCGTTTTTTCTATCAATTGACTGTCGCGTTTATCTACTTCTTCATCATATGTTGTTCGAGCTAATTCTAATTTTAAAAGTTCCTCGAATTTGTCCTTCTTGTAAGCATTCTTTGCTTCCATTTGAATTTTTAATTCAGGACTATTCTTGAAACGATTGTATATACAACGAATTCCAAGTATACATGACGCCACCGATGCAGCAATGGCTATAGCTATGCCTACTATCTTTAGCCAATTAGTTTCATTTTCGTTACTCTTGCCACAAGAATTTTTTGCTATGATCGGTTGGCATGATTTATCAAATAATCGTCTTGTGTCTCTTTCATTCCGATCGGAATAATCCAAATCGCATTCAGACAATACTTTATTTTCACATTCCAAAACTTCATATACAAAACAGCAAAAATTCAAACTTTCGGTGTACTGTAAGGAAATCGACAATTTCGATATTACAATCATTGAAAATTGTTGATTCATTCATAACTTACATAGTGATTAATAGTAATCTGCCATTTTTCCAGGAATTTTATTTGACAGGTTCGATACTTTTCTCGTAGCTCATTTTCAGTGCTCTCTTTATATTCAATTATTTTGGTACATTTGTCTGGAAAGCCGTATACTGATTTATATGGTATCATAATTCGATGGTACGTGGACATTGCAGCCGATTCATCTTGCTTTTGAAAAGCATTCACAAAAATTAGATAGATCAATATGGTGAATAAAAATGAAAATTGACTTATTGTTTTCATTTTCTTTGCTTACCACAACTTTTGAACAAGACTAACATGTATGATTAGTTTGAATATTTATACGATGAAATGACCATTATTTTGAGATTCAATTAAGAATATATAATTCAATTTTATTCAATTATTGCCAAACTATTTTTCATTTTTTTATGTGAATATTACAAAATTAATATAATTTTTTTAGTTCTTCCTTTAGAAAATTTTATAGTTGAGAATATTTTTCTACGAACAAAATAATGTATCAAAAAATTGTTTGAAACATCATTATCTCCCCCTTCCAGACATTTAAAATGATAATCTTATAATGTGTTTGTTTACTAAATAGTAATAAGAAAGATATTTTTCTTTTTATAAAAAAAGATGAAATTTTTTAAATACATTATTTTGTCAAAAGAATAATTTTTAGAATAAAATTTGGCAATAATTGAATAAAATCGAATTATAAATTCTTAATTGAATCTCAATATATAATGGTTTTTTCATCGTACAAATATTCAAACCAAGTTGTGGTGAGCAAATAAAATGAAAACAAAACCTCAATTTTCATTTTTATTCACCATATTATTGTTCTATTTAATCGCAGAGGATGCTCTTCAAAACCAAGTTGAATCGGCTTCAATATCCACGTACGATCGAATTATGATACCTTATAAATCATTATACGGATTTCCAGACAAATGCTCCAAAATAATTGAATATAAAGAAGTCACTGAAAATGAACTACGAGAAAAGTATCGAAACTGTCAAATGAATTTCCTGGAAAAATGGCAGATTACTATGAATCAATATGTAAGTCATAAATGAATCAACAATGTTGAATGATTGTAATATCGAATTTTTTGATTTCCTTACAGTACACCGAAAGCTTGAATTTTTGCTGTTTTGTATATGAAGTTTTGGAATGTGAAAGCAAAGTATTGTCCGAATGCGATTTGGATTATTCCGATCGGAATGAAAGAGAGACAAGACGATTATTTGATAAATCATGCCAACCGATCTTAGCAAAAAATTCTTGTGGCAATAGTAACAAAAATGAAACTAATTGGTTCCAGATAGTAGGCATAGTTATAGCGATTGCTGCATCGGTGGTGTCATGTATACTTGGAATTCGTTATATATACAATCGTTTCAAGAAAAGTCCTGAATTAAAATTACAAATGGAAGCAAAGAATGCTTACAAGAAGGACAAATTCGAGCAACTTTTAAAATTAGAATTAGCTCGCACAACATATGATGAAGAAGTAGATAAACGCGACAGTCAATGGATAGAAAAAATGACTGAAATTATTATAGAAAAAGAAAGATCAAAAATTTCTGGATTAGTTAAAAAGTTGGGTGCGTTAGTAGGTATTGGGGGAAATAAAAGTGAGCCTAAGAAAGAGAATGGAGCAGTAGCCTATTTAAAAAAGCAAGTCGCTAACCTATTTGGAAGGAATCCGGAAAAACAAAAGATGAAAAAGTTGAAAGAAAAAATCTGGTCAAAAATCAATGAAGATTCGAAACAAGAAGAATTCTGGAAAGATTTCAATAAATACTCAGAATCATATAACCAATCCAATCTGACAGAAAATAAAAAGATGAAACTAGATGAGGAAAATATAAAAAAAATAGAAGAATTGGCCCGATCAGAAGCGGATTTACAGTATGACGATATCGAAAAAGATAATTTTTTACGAATAACTGATCGGAAATTTTACAAAAAAATAAAAAATAAGCCTTTTGCAGAAAGGGAATTGAAAAGAATGATAGAGGCTCGACAAATTCACGACGAAAAAGCGGATCCATTTGTCGCAAAAATAATCGAATCACTAAATCAAGAACAAGTAAATATTCATCATGAAATGCTGCGAAGTAAAAACTTTGCACAAATCGAAAAAATGGATCAACTAAATGATTGGACGAAACGATTGAAACAAACCAGAACAAAAATCCGAAGCAATCGTCCAGAGTATTTTGCTATGACACCTGTATCAGTTGACAATGAAATTCCCATGATCGCTGATATAGAAGGGACAGTAAAAATTCCACCAAACGAGTCGCAACAAGTCAAAAAAAAAGGATTGTTTAATTGGCTTCCTTTTAGAAATTCATCGAATTTGGATAATAATGTACAGGAGAAATTCGAAACAAAAACAGCTGATCATGAGATAGAAGGGACAGGAAAAATTCCACCAAACGATTCGCAACAAGACAAAATGCAACATGAATTCTCACCAATTGAGGAAGAAGTAATAAGTGTACAAAAATATTTTCGGGATGTAATGGAACAAAAAGATCAAAACTTAAATGGACTATTGGAACCATCAAAAGTTTTGTATGATCTAAATGATGAACAATTAATTAATTTAACTCAACTTCCACCTGAACCGCTTAGACGAAAAGAAATAATTTTGTACAAATCAGTAAATGGAATTCCAATATTCTCGGAAATAGCAAAGAACTCATACAAAAACGATTTTAAATATCCATACTATGGTCTTATTGCTGAAGAAGCAGCTCTTACTAAACAATGGGACATTATACAAGCACAATTCAATGAAAAACGTGAAGAATTAAAGCCGAAACGAACGAAACAAAATCTTTTTGGAATGAGAAATAAAAAAATGATGACTGAATCCGAAAAACAAAGAAAATTAAAAAAATATGAAAAAGAATTTAAATCTCAAGAAAAAATCTTGAAAAATAAAATGGAAAAAGCAAAAAAGGAAATGAAAAAAGATTTGAAAACAAAGCAAAAAGCACTGGCTAAAGAAAATGAAAGGTTTGGAAAAGATCGGAAAAAAACCGAGAAAAATATTAAAGAAAAATTGGAAAAACAACAAAAAAATAAACTAAAAGAAGAAAAAAAATTAGCAGAAAAATTAGAGAAGTTGAAGAAAAATGAAACAAAATTAAAATCTAAAATGAAAACGGATGAACAATCAAATATGACTTTAAAAATCGAGAATCTCAATCAAGATCAAAATTTGCATGGATCAGAGTCATCGCTGAAAACAATCGGTAAAAAAATTTCTGAACCACCAGAAATACTTCCGATCGAATATCGAATTGAGCCTTTATTAACGACAGAAGAAACAAATATTCTTCATCAAGCAATTATTGATAAACCGATAAACGATAATTCCGAACTGTCAAAGTACAAAAGTTCAGTTCTCGCAGAAATGCTAGAATTTCAAAGATTAGTTTCTTTAGATGAAGGCAAAAAACAAGAAGCATTAATATTTAGAGACCACTATCTGGTTCCAATATACAAAGAAATATCGAGTGATGATCAACAATCAACTAAAAGTGAAATCCAACCAATACTGACTGATGAGGAGAGAAGTTATTTAACTGGAAAGAAGATTAACCTGGATCCAGAAAATAAAACTTCTACGCAAGAGAAATATCGAGAGTATATAATAAACGAAATTTTAGAAATTGAAAAATCAAAACTACCTCTAACCGAAAAAAACCATAAAGCTTTAAGAGACTTTATTGAAATATTCAAAAATAGAGTATCTGATATGAAAAATAAGCCTCAATATCCTATTTCTAATTTTAAACATGAAACAAAAGGTACGATTTCACTTATAAGTGAAGAACAAGAAGATTTTTTATTCTTCGAGTCTTTTGTCAAACCAAAAATATACGATAGACAAGTAGACTATAATGTTTGGTTTTTCAATGAGCTTTTTGCAACTCGTGGCCAACATTTTTATGACCCTTCACACTATCGATTCTATACAATGAATAAAGAACAAAATGATTTGTTTTTATCAAAATTACTGTCAGAATCAATCACTTATTCGAAAGGTTTGAAAAACCAACAACCGATTTTGACCACAATTAATACAGTGATAACAAATACTGCCGAAAATACCGTATTGCCAGGTAATGCACAACAATCTAAATATAATGTTCAGCCAAAATCATCCAATTCACCCGATACGAGCACTTTAACAAAACGACTAAAAAGATCACTGAATCGAACAATTCTATCAACAACACAAATGTCTGAAAATCAATTTTTTGATTGCACACATCAATTTCAATGAAAAAATTCAATAAATAAGAAAAAATAACAATTTTTCCAAATTTTCAATCCTGTTTCCGGTTGCTTTAAATATTTTCAATTTTCAATTTTGAATAAATAAAATTATTTTGTTTTTATTTTTCAATCACTTCATAAAAAATTTTTGAAATATCGAAATTATTTAGATACTAGATGACATGATTGTTTGGGTGCAAACAATTAACTAAGAAAATAATTGTCAATGTAAATCTAAAATGTAACAAGCAAAATAACTTCATTTATTTCGTTAAATAATTTAAAATGAAAAATCGAGAAAACAATAATAATAAACAGTTGAATAACACAATAGAAAAGTTAACCTTGGCCGATAACAGAACACTTAGAAAATAACCATTTAGACAACTTTAAATCTTTTTTGACAAAAAAACAAATTGAAGGATTGAAAAATCAATTGGTAATTTTCATTTAGATAATTTATGCCTAAAAATTAATCATTCAAAAAAATATAATAAACAATTAAAATGCAATTATAATTATGAATAAACTTATAAGTGTTATAACAAGAATAATTTTAAAAAAATCAGCAAAATCGTATTTGGCAAAATATAATTTTGATAAGAATTTCGAAGTTTCAAAAACAAGACACTAGAAGGCAGCCTAGAAGTCATTTCAACAAAAAAAAAAAAAAAAAAAAAAAAAAAATTAAAAATTAAAATTGTATTTGGGATATTTTTTTTAANCGTATTGCCGGGTAATGTACAACAATCAAAATATAATGTTCAGCCAAAATCATCCAATTTACCCGATACGAGCACTTTAACAAAACGGCTAAAAAGATCACTGAATCGAACAATTCTATCAACAACAACACAAATGTCTGAAAATCAATTTTCTGATTGCACACATCAATTTCAATGAAAAAATTCAATAAATAAGAAAATAACAATTTTTCCAAATTTTCAATCCTGTTTCCGGTTGCTTTAAATATTTTAAATTTTCGATTTTGAATAAATAAAATTATTTTGTTTTTATTTTTCAATCACTTCATAAAAATTTTTGAAATATCGAAATTATTTAGATACTAGATGACATGATGTAAAATTATATATTTTGCCAAATATAATTTTATATGAATTTCGAAGTTTCAAAAACAGGACACTAGAAGGCAGCCTAGTAGTCATTTCAACAAAAAAAAACTAAATTCAAAATTCAAATTCGTATTATGGATATCTATTTTCAGCATATCATTTATACACCTCAGAATTATAAAGGAATTTTGTAAAAAAACTCACTAATATCTAATACACAATTACGCTGAAATGTCTCATAAAATTCTTTTGAACAGATTGTTGCCTAAGACAAAAATTGCCATCGCCATATAGGATTACAAAGTATAAGCCTCTTATATAAGCCACTGTCGCATATGTAAGCAAGCGGAATGGTCCAAATAGCCCTGTATATAAGGTAATTTAAATACTATAGTTCATTTTATTATTATTATTATTTTTTTTGAATCTTTGTTGGTAATACATTTTGATTTTGTTGATGATCATCATGAATCCAGAAACAATTTTTTTAATATGTACAATAATTAACGATCGTTATCTTAATCGGAAAGATTATTTAGATAAAACAAAAACAAAATTAAGAGTATTTTGAAAATGATGGAAATGGTTTTTATCTGTTCTGTTTATTGAAACTAATTTTACAACAATTGTCAAATTATCAATTAACATTATCAATTGATAATGTAATAAATGTAAATAAATGAATGCATGAAATCTTTCAAAGATATGACTATAATTAATTTGTGATTGATTGGAACGAGGTAATTGATCAATCTGTATGTGTAGATGTGTCATTTAAAGTAAATTTGATTTATTTGAGTATCATTTGAATATTTTTCCAATTTTTTTTCAGAAAAAAAACCTTTTTCTCCCTACTCTTCATTCTATTTTGTTTCAAAATAAGATGAAAAAAAAGATTGAAATGATGAAATTAATTGATGTGATTGAAGGAAATTCCGGGCCATTTATTTCGATCAAAGATTTGTTTATGTGTGTATGTGTGTATGTGTATGTTTGCGTCGTTATTATCATTGATAATAATAATAATATTTACAAACGAAAAGAGAAAATGAATTGTTATGATCTATTAAAGATTAATAAATAAATTATAACTGAATGATTAATCAAATTGATCAGATATTTGTTTGATTGATTGGTTGATTGATGTAATTATTTAACTTGTTTTACTCGATTCGGAAAGGCCAGGTGATGAAGCTGTTTTATAATTTTCATCAATTTCATCATCACTATCGATAGCCATTGTACTATGATTATATAAGCCTTGTGCCATTAAATGTAATGCCAATGGTCCACGACCTGGGCTTGATTTTTTTATTTTAGCACGTTTATTCTGGAACCATATTTTTATCTGCGATTCATTTAATTTTAATTCACGTGCCAAATCTTGACGTCGTTTTTCAGTTAAATATCTAAATCGTCAAAAAAAAATAGCAAATTAGAATATCATCATTCATATAAATTAATAATTAGATTTGGATAACTTACTTGTTATCAGTGAATTCTTGTTTTAATCGCGCCAATTGTTCTGCAGTGAATGCTGTTCTAGGCCTTTTTTCATCAATTTTTTTCTCTTTTTTCTTAATTTTACGAGATCTTGGACCTATATATAAGAATGAAAAAAAATAATAATAAATTAAACGAACAAAATACATTTAAAAATTTCTGTGTGTAACTGTAATAAAATTTCAAATTTGATTGAGATTATAATTAGTGTCAATGCAAAGAAACCTAGTCAATTCATATTATTGAAAATGAAAAATTAAATCATTGTTTTTTTAAATCAATCAACATTCAAATAAAAATTTTGTTGAAAGAAAAAAATTTATATATTTTAAAAAATTCAAAATAGATGTTCATCATGTTTTTTGAATTTCACCATGTGCGTTCTAGGTGATTGTAGATTACAATAATATAAATCTCTTTTTTTTCCTATCTTTCTCTTTTCAAATGAATGAATGAATTTAAATGACAGTGATGAACGAGCTAATGATATTAACCAAAAAGGACCACCATGATAATGATGATGATGATGTTGGATACACCACATCATATATTTATTTGTCGCTTAACATTTCAAATGAAAAATATTTTCAACTATTCAAAAAGTGTCATCAACATCTTCTTCAATTGTTTAGTCTAGCTAGTTTGGAACCGAGAAGGGGGGAGAAAAAATTGTCCGCTTTTGATCATTATCATTATTAACCAGAAAAAAAAACAAAATGAACAAACACATGAATACACACACACAAACAAAATACTTACCACACACATAGTGACAAGTTATTCTTTCTAATTACTTTTTAATGAGCTGGAAAACAAAATGAACGAAAAAAGAGATGTGAAAAGAATGACAAAATAAAATCACAACAACAACAAAAAAAATTCCAACCACACGATCATCATGAGAATGATGATCTTTATAATGACAATATCTTTCCCTATTTAGTGTTTTTTTTTTTGCTCGAAAATTCTTTTATATCTTGCTTGTGTTTGTGTATGGTGTGTGTGGCATTTACTTTAGTCATCAAACTAATCGTCTGTCGGGTATAATGAATAAAATGGTTTTTTTTGATTGACTTAAATGGAAAATGGCACGTCATTATCAAATTCTGTTGATCATAATTTTAGGTTGACAGTTTATGTTTATGATTGTCATCATTATTATTATAATTCGAATGATGATAAACAACAAAAACAAAATCAGTTGGTCGAATTAGATACAAACAAAATACTTTCAAAAAACTTTCAACTACTACATTCATGTATTTTTTCTCTCTTCCTTTATTATTTATCCAATGATAATAATAATGAAAATGATAATAGATATTTTCAATATTTTTTTTTCTTTTAATTAATTACATGTTTGTCATCATTGGAAAAAAATGAAAAATATTCATAAATTTAAGATCTATATTGAGAAAATTGATATTTTTTTCATATATGAACAAATCGATTGAAAGATTAAGGAATAATATAATCAAAAATGTCATCATCATCAACAACAATCAATTGATTGCTATTGTATTTTTAGCCGTAAAAACACCAAATTAATAAATGAATTATGATTTGCCCATGTGAAATTTATGTGTGTTTGTATGTGTAGGAGGAATAAAAAGGATTCAATTCAATTGAATTTTCACGAAACCGTTATTATTATTATTATCCTCTTTTTTTCTGTTGGTTGGTTATAATAAAATAATAATATATTCATGTACGTGAACGTATGGTTCATGTCAATCCAACAAAGCTTTAGTATATTCTTGATTGTATATATAAAAATATCATATGTTGTTGTTGTTGTTGATAACTAAACATACATCAAATATACATTTTATACGACAGACATGACATGAAAATTGACTATGTCCGTGTGTGTATTATCCCATCGAATAACACCATTTATAAATGAGAATGAAAGAGAGAGAGAGAGAAAAAAATTTTTATCGCACCAAAACCAGATACCAGTATGATAGAATGAATGAGAACAAAATAGACTAATAATCGAAATATAAAATTCTCTTTTGAAGTATGAAAATGAAATAATAATAATAATAAAAGTGTGGGAGACAACCAGCTATAGAAACCAGGGGCTTTTAATATCAATTTGTTTTGAACCATATATATGTGTGTGTGTTTTCTGAAACTATATATAGTTATCCACCCGGTAGCAATCATCCATTGTAATGTTGATGATGAGGATGGCATCATTATATAATATAACTGAACGATTTATAAACTAAGTTTTCATTGTATCAACAACAACATAATATATAATGATGACAAAAAAAAAAATAAAGTTGCCCTATGGAATGTGTCCCAATGTTTGTTCAGTATTTATATTCTGTTCAACAGACAACAACAACAACAACAATGATGATCATCTAACCTAATAATGTAGAAAAATCTATATAAATGTTAACATTTGCCCAAAACATCATCATCATCATCATTATTATTATTACCATTATTCATGTAAAATATTATTATATAATAATAAACTTTTTTTTCTGGAACTTCTGAATGAAGAACAAAAAAAAAGGCTTATTGTCATTAATTCTGACACTTTTTACACATAACATGTAAACAGTCAAGTTACTTAATATATGATAGAATAATAATCATAAATCCATATAGAAATATTGGATAGAATAGTATGTTGTTTTACTTTCTTTCTTTTTGCTCAGTATAAATTATTGTTCACAATCTTATCACAATTTTATTCATTTGATCTTATTGTTTGTTGTTGTTGTTGTTGTTGTTGTACAAAAACAACAATAGCAAATACTCTATACTATAGAATAATTGGTAAATTAAATTTCCGGTCGTTAGGCTTTATTCACTCTCATTATTATTTTCCTTCTTTTATTTTAGCTATAAAATATACCAAACACTTGATTCTATGTATTATTTTTTTCGAACATTGTTTTTGAAACTGAAAATTGTTAGATAAAAACCCAAGCATCAACATTAGCCTTTCGCCAAACAAACAAACACCAAGTACAATAATTGATAAATTATGGATCTACAGATACTGTTGTTATTAATTTGTTTAATACGAGACCTTGGTTGATGTATGAAGATGATGATGGTGTTTATTGGTCTTTTTGGTTCTCTCTTTATCGTTTTTTTTGTTTGTAAGTATATTTGTATGTGTTAATACCCGCGACAAACATCGGCTAAAAAATAAAAAGGAACTATAGTTAAGGTCATAAAACCAGAAAATAATTGCTTTATTTTAGACATGATCGGTATTTTTGTTCACCAGATAAGTATTGAGATAGATTCTTGAAACAGAAAACAAATATAAATGAAGATTAAAATCAGATCAAAATAGTAGACACGCGTACGTTCCGTTAAAATAAGAATAAACCAAAGTAACTATAATGTCTCGTAAATATGTGTGTGTGTGTCTAAATGTAAGATAATATTCGTAGCTCTATTAAGCGAAAAGCAATTAGAATCAATGAGCGAATAAAAAGAAAGAGAGAGAGAGAAAAAAAAATCGGGTAATAAACATCGATTTGACAGTTTTGTAAATGTTGTTATCGTCTTTGTACTGTTTATCGGTATTGAATACTAAATGGTGACAATTATTTTACATTTTGGAAGAAAAAGAAACATTTATTGTTGATGATGACGATGATTTTTTTTAGGAATTATATCTTTAACTTTGCCTGATTGTCTGTTTGTTTATTATAATCATAATTATCATCATTACCATTTATTTGATTGATTAATTCTATTTGATTGTTGCCATTGTTGCCATCAATAATGTTGCTGCTATTTGTCTGTATTCGTTGATCAATTCCTTTAGCATTTTTTACAGATGTTTGTAGACCAAGTTTTTTCAGCACTGAATTTTAACAAGATTTTTTTTAAAACAAGGAAATTCAAAAACATTTTTTGTTTTGTTTGTTTGTTTAAGAAGAATCATCACCCGAAGACATTTCAAGTATTTCAAGATTGTCATTCATAATAATTGATCATCGAACAAACAAACAAACAAACAAAGCTGATAAAGAGCTTAAACCTAATTTAACCTATTCGATGATTAATTTATTGAATAATTTTTAAAAAAATGAATCAAATTGAATAGGTTTGATATTTGTGAGAATGAAAAACTAAACTAAATAAATTTTAAAAATAACATGTGATGACAAAACGAAACCAAAATGACAGGACATTAGACAAAATGACCTTTCCTCTAATGTTTATTCTAACAAATATCATCATGAAATTGTAAAAATGAAAATTCATTCATCATCATTCATTTATTCTGAAGACAATGCATTCAAGAATCAATGACGAAAAAAAGATTGTGAAATTTTTCGTAAAAAGCTGAAACAAACGATAAATGAATGAATTTTCAAAGATGAATGAAAAAAAATGAAAAATCAAAAAAAAAAAAACATTCATCATCTGACAACGTTATCGATAGCAATTTTTTTTTGTTTTGGCCTAAACCATAAATTCATTTGTCATTTGTGTTTACGTTTTCTTTTCTTTCCTTTTCTTTCCGCTTCGATTCGATTTTATGCCATTTGTATAATATTTGATAAAAGAATCAAACAATAATTAATCATTTCATATGTAAATACAGTGAGAATTCAGTGAGAATATTCAAATGAAAAAAATATTGAAACGAGATCTTCCAATCATCATCACATTTATGATTCATTTTAAATTTTTTCTAGTAATAAATCTGTATAACTTGAATGAATCAAAACAAAACAAAAAAAAAGTATTCGGGAGAAAAAATAATCATATTTCAACAACTTTATAAATATAAAGTAATAATAAACAAGAGAAAATTGTAAATTTTCATCATAATTAATCAAATTAACTAATTAATTTTTATCAGTCAACATTGAGTTTGTATGATCACGATGATAATTACTTTTTTTTCCATTGCCAACATCAAAAATGTCAACATCATACGTTGATGACATTTTTCTTTCTTTTAATAAACTTATTATGAATGAAAAAAATGGTAAAAAATTGATTTAAGATAAAGACAGCCATCATCATGAGTATTTTTAATTTTTTAAACATAAAAATAGTAATCGATTAATATATTTACATCAAATCGTTTAAACTTTTCTAAATAATTTCCTAGATAATCATTGTATATAATAATTCAAAGAGATAAGATACCGAATAAAGTTGAATATCAATAATTTTCATTCGAATCGAGTATTTAAATGAGAGAAAAAAATCGGCTGTTCACCTTGTCAAATTTCGATGTCACCCTTAACGATTTAAAAAAAATGGTGGCAGATGATCATTTTTATCATCAAACTATCATAAGGCAACACAGTGGCTAATATCTATTCAACAAAAAAAACTACCATCATGTTTGCTGTCAAGGTGTGTGGCCAAAATCAAAAAGCGCTTAATATCTTTTGATCTGTTGTTATCGCAAAAAAAATTATATCATTGAATCAAATACAGCAACAACAACAACAACATTGAAACAGAATGAATTTGCAATCAAAAAGTTTAGAAAAAAAACATCATCATCATTCAAACCATATAATCGAAATTACACATAACATTTTTTCAATTTATTTATTTATTTATTTTTTGATTTTGTTCAATCAATTTTCTTTTGGATATGTGAGGTATTCACGTGTAAATAAATTCATTCATTCATGTGTCATTCATTCTATTTGAAGCGGAACGTTTGTTTTCATTTTTTTTCGATCTTGGATGCAAAAAAACAACAACAGAAGAATTTGTGTATAGTAGAATTTGTATTGTAAATATATGGTAATGGTAATGCACGTGCAATATGTTAAATGCAGTGTGTGAATTATTATTATTATCCACATCATCAACATTATTATCATCATCATCATTATTATTATTATTATTTAGTCTTCTATACACGATTTATATTGAGACAATGGAATTTTTTTTCCATTCCTTATTATTATTCGTTGCTTATTGCTTGTGTTGATCTGTCAAATCGAACATGATGGCTTGTGAAACGAAAACGTTCATTAACATTTATTTGTCAAAAAGGAAAAAATTGCTGCCTTCTCTCTTTCCCTCTCCCTCTTTGCAAGTTTAACGAAAAAACAATGGCATTTTTTTCAAGTCAATTTGACATGAATAACTAATCGGTAATCGAGATGATTTAAAAAGAAAGAATATTGTATGGAAAACTGTCTCACTCTCTCTCCCAATCTCTTTTACCGACTATCAGTTTTGAATGAACGAATTCTTTCGATATTTTAATAACACTACTATCATCAATATCAATATTACATATTATTCGGAATAGTAGTCGATTATATAAATGAAAAGAAAAAATTCTACACACTAAAATTGTTGTGTAAAAGATTATTTTTCTTTTGCAAAAAAAAAATAGAGATAAGTGCCGTAGAGTTATTATCATCATCATTGAACAAAAAAAAACGTTGATTCAATCCATCCGACCATTTCATTTCATTTCAATAAAATAGAGAAAAAGTTTTCAACAAAAAAAAACAACATCATTTGATTGTCGTGTGTCAGCGATGAGTTAATATTATTTTATTTTAAAACTAATGGTCCGTAACATTGAATCTAAATGAATTTTTATTTTTTTCGAATCTTTAGTTTTCAAGGTTTTTTCTGTCTGTTTGTTGATAAAATAATAATAAATAAAAATAATGAAAAATCGATTCCATCATCATCATCATCATCAATTATAAGCATCATTATATTTGGATTCAATTACTTTTTTCAAGAAAAAAAAATAATTTGATACTACAAAATTTTCTCTAAAATTTTTTATCCTAATTAACGCAGTTATTTGACCGGAAAAAACTACAACAACAACTGTTTGGAAAATCTTGAAAATTCAATCCGATAAAATGTTTATTTTTTTGCAGTAATCGAAATGTAAATCTACAATTGTCAGTTAGATTTTCTAATGTTATTCATCACAATCATTAATCTGATCGTTTTTTTTCATATTGAAAAAAATTGAGTTCAGACTAATCGATTATGTGATTTTATTTCTCTTTATTCATTTTTTTCAAACAAACCAGAAAAAAATGATTTTTTTCCACTCTAACATTCTTCATCATCATCACACAATGTGTCTTAATTAAAAAAATAAACATTTTTATCTGTCTTGCTTGTTGTTGTATACAAAAAGACATAAACATCAACATTATAATCATCTCCTGCTGATTATATACGACTAACTTTATGAGATTTTCGAATATTTTTCTTCATTCGAATTAGATTTAAAGAATAAGCATCATCATTGCATTCCAAATCAACCAAAAAAAATGACATATGAAAAAAAAGGATTAAAAAAATTGTTATTTGACATATGAGAAAATCATTTTATCATCCATACATATTTTATATAGCAGACACAGGATTTATGTTCACATCATACAAATTTATTCTTTCATCCAATTCAATGGAGGAAAATATCTCATCTTTTCGGTTTTTTTTCATAGCATTGAAAAAAAATGTGATAAAAATGAAAGGGGAAAAGAGAAAAAATTCATAATTTTAATTTGACCAGGATTTTTATTAGTTTTTTTTTGAAAACGAAATCATAAGAATAATAATAATTCATCAAAATGGTCATAATAATTTCGACTATTATGGATGTTTCAGTTTTTTTTCGTTTTGTTTTGTTCTGGCTTGATCAAGGTAATAAAAAAAAATGAAATTCTTAATTATCTGTACCCGAACAAAATAATGTTTGGATCATCATCTTTATTACGATTCGATTCGTTTAGACCAATTTTTTTTCTTTCCTTCTTTCAAATAATAATGACGATTATCGTGACACGCGTCATTTGGCATTCAGACACGCACTCATTAAAAAAAATGTTCAAAGAATTTTTCTAAACTGAAAAATTCCGTTTCAAATTTTTTTTATATGTCAATAATAATGAGCCAAAAAAAATTCGGAATGTGCAAACGGAGGATGGTGGAACGAAACAACAACAACAACAAAAAAAGAGTTAAAATTGAATCGAAAAAAAAAATTATTATTATTCTCAACATTTGTTGTTGTTATATGGCTGTCATCATAAAAGGTAAAATTGATTTAAAAAAAGAGAGAAAAAAACACATACATGAAATGTGTTTACGATTCAATTTTTCTTTTCAAATATATAGCTTAATTATAATTTTAAATTTTCTCATCATTTTCAATTCGACATTTATCACCTTATCAGTTGTTTTGATTACAAGAATCAAACATCAAACATCATTATCATCAAACAGCAAGTGATCATAACATTTATATTTCATAGATATGATTTTATGATCATCGTTCTCTCTCTCACTTTGATGTGTTTTTTTATTATCAATCTAGTTTCATCACAATTTTATGGTCATAAAAAAAATCCTTGTAAACATCCTGGAGATTATTATTATTATTATTTTTTATTATTGACATGATGATTATAATGATGATTGTAGTTTGGCTAATTAATCGTCAAACATATAAAAATTTTTCTTTAAATATCGACAACAGCGGCACGAAATTCTTCATTGCAAATGTCAATCACAAAAGAGAAACATTTGCTAAGATACCAGCCAAAAAGAAAATGATTAAAAAATGAAATGAATTTTTTCTTCGAAAAGAAAATTTGTAAAAATCGGAAACGAAACCTATGGAAAAAACTGTGACAATTTTGTTCTATTGAATATTGTAAACATAGACATAAAGCAAATTTTCTTTCGTTTTTTTACTCATCATTCTTTAGATTTTTTTTCTTTACTATTGATTGATTGACCTCAAAATAACGATGAATGAAGAGAGAGAGATATAGAGAAAATCTTTTCATCATTTAAAATCGATTGGCAAGCAAGTAAGAAGAAAAATTCAATTATATCATCAAAAGGTATAGATCCATATATATATCTTATTATCATAATTGTATTCTTCTTTTCTTTTTTTTTGCTTTTTTGTTGACAATTGTCAAACAAAACAAAAACATGAATGACAAAAGATGAATTGGAAAAGATAGAGATAGAGACAAATAATTGAATGAAATTTGTCAACACACACACACACACACACACACAAACAAACTGAGAGATCAAATAGATAAAATAAACATAACGATGATGATGATGATGAACAAACCTGGTTAAATGTCATCAAGGCCAAATTGATTGTATCAGATCCAAACAAAAAAAAAGAATTATTTAAAATAAAACAAATAAACTATTGGGGGCCACACAGTAGATTATATTTCAATTCAAACAAAACACAAACCAACTTATTGAAAATAAGTTCATTCATTCATTCATTCATTGAGAATTAAGTGTCTATCTAGTCCATCAGGTATATATAAATCCTGGGTAGAAAATGAAAAATATGAATAAAAGAAGCGAATAACGATACAGGCAATTTATTAGTCAAGTCAAGCACAAAATAACTTTTTTTCTTTGAAAAAAAAATTCAATTTTGTTACAAAACATGCCACCGGTATTTTTTTTTAAATAATAATAAATATATTGACCATTTTATTTATTCATTCATTCATAATAAAGCCATTGACTAACAATAACATCGATGATAACGACAACGACGTTGGTGGCATATGTATGTTTTTTTACCAATTGATCGTTGTCGGCATTGATTTGGAGATTGCCAAAAAACATGAAATGAAATGAAAATAATCGAAATGCAAAGAAAAATCAAGTTCAGATGGTAAATAACCATCACAAGCAAAGTAATATATTACCGGATAAAAAAAACTCAAATCAAATAAAATATTTATCCATACATCTTATCCATATTATCAACAACAACAAAAAAGGGAAAAACTATCAATTGATTATGATCATCTTGTATATTGTGTGATCAATCCATCTTTTCGAATGATCACCGAAGAAAGGGAGAAGATTTTCCAAATTATCTTCTTCAAATTGCAAACCAAAATGATGATTTTTTTTTTGTCTGAAAAAAGAAGAAGTTCCTAAAAATAAAGTTCAATGGTTTTGGTTTTTAATTTAGTATTTTTTTACAAAATATTTTCAAAAAACAGTTACCATATCACATCAGGGTTCATGATAATGATGATTATAATAAAATTCCGATGTCCATAAATTAAAGGCTTAATTTATACAAAATTATATCAAAAAAATTTCTTTTTTCCCAAAGCAATTAAGCGAAAAAAAAGATTCGATTAATTTGTAAAATATTTCTTTCGCAGAAAAAAATCAACCATCAAATAAATGTTTTTAGCTTCTGGTCATCATTTTCTTCTTTATCGATAATTTAAGTGAAGTAAAAATTATTAACCAATTATGTATAAAGAGATTCAATTCAAAGAATACAAACAAATAAGATGTAAGATTATTGATTGAATATTGAAATTTTTTGACAGTCAATTTGAACGAAGAAAAGAAAAGAATATTTCTTTTTACAAAATAATTTGACAAAATTAAATTGTTTGTGATAAATGTCTTCAATGTTTACATTTTTGTTTCCACAGTTTTGTTTGTTTAATGACAATAGAAAAAAGGTCAACATAGGACATATGATGATGATGATGATGATAACGGATGTAATTGATAATCGAAAAGGAAGATTCAATTCGGTCTGGATGACCGTTTTTTTCATTATTATTTATTTTCATCTGTAAACTAATTTGACGGAAATCAATTGTTATGAAAACTAATGTGAATAGAACACACACACACATCAAGAGAGAGAGAGAAAAAAAGAATAACAAAATAGACATGCAGATTTAGTTGCTTTATTTCATTTTTTTTTTTGCTTCTTTCCTTCAACGTCATCATCATCAAAATCATCAAACCACACCAAATCACATTGAAAATGGAAAAGTCAAATAAAGCAAATAAAGCATGGTTTATAATAGATAAAGAGATGAATGAATGAAGAGGATTTGGATAGACAAAAAAAAACGTTGCAAATCAATGAAATTTGAATTGTAAAATTTTAGAAAGAATGAAAAAAAAAGATAAATGACAAAGAAGATATCTTGTTCAATAAATTAATTTTCATTTTTCTTTGACTTTTTTGTTCCATTCATTCAATAATACAAAATCCTCATAATAATGATAATAATATTGCTCTATTTTTTTCCTGACTTTCTTTTCTAACCATTTTGAGATAAAGCGAACAGTGAAAAAAAAATTGATTTGTCCCAACGATGAGTTTTAGTTGTTCATCATCATCATCAACATCATCATCGTTTGTGTTTCCATCCAATCAACTGATAACGGATGATAATGATGAACAAAAGTTTAGCAAATATAAAATTAAACGGTACCAAGTCGTACGACCACGTACGTTTTAAGGTTTGTGTGCGGTCCCCGTTCATAATAATCAATCAAATTGGTGCCATATGTGTTTTGACTTTTGGCCATTGTGGTCGTTTACGCCTTTTTAGCTATAGCTAGCTAACTTGGTGGTAGATGGTCGTCGATACACATTAGCACACACACACATCACGATTATCAACAATTGATACGTAAACACTAACAACAAACGTTTTATAAATGATATCAAAAAAAAAAAAATCAATGAATGAAAAAAAATTTACGGACCTAGAAATTCAATACTAATTTCAGAAGTTCTATTTTCATTTGACTTTTGGATAAATGTACCGTTTACAGTTTTAATACGATAAACCATAAGTTAGATTTTCATTGTAAATAATAGAAGAAGAAAAAATTCACAACATTCAATGGGAAGATGGACCATAAAGTCCTCACAGTCAGAAAACACAAACAATGGGAAAATTTTTTTCCCATTGTTATGAAATGAATGCAAAGCAAGTAACAAAAAAAAAATGACCACGAATTTTTTTTTTGAATGACCGTAAACAATTTTTAACAATAATAAAGATAATGATGACCAAATGAGATGAGCATACATATATGCCACACAGGTAGCTTGAAAATCAAAAGAATGGACAAATGTCATTATAATTTCTAAATAGTGTTTGTGTTTGTGTGTGGTGATAATCATTTGATAAGTCGTCAACAACTATTTAGAAAAAATTGACATTATAACAACAACAACAACAACAACAGCGACAGCAAAAGTCATAAATCACTAAATTTAGTTGAGACTAACAAACAAAAAAAAACAATGATTATAATTAATTTAGATTATTGATATCTATTCTTGTCTAATTGATTTATACTAATATATCACACATTCACACAGACAATTGAAACATGGTAATTTTTTTCGTTGTTGAAAAATCTATAGTTTGGTTTTGCATCAACATTTGAGAACTAATAAATATCAATCAAAAACAATTCAATTCATTTGAAAATATCAATCTTAACAAAAAAAAAGAATCTTAATATTTTGATTTGAAAAAAATCTGCTTACCTGATGATGGTCGATCAGAATATCTTGTACAATAGACCCAAGCAGGCCATAGAACTGGTTGTTTTGCCTTCTCTTCCAATGATACTTCTTTACCAGATTGTTCAATACTAGGTGTAGGTGTTGTTGCTGTCGATGATGAATCTTTACTATTATTTTGATCACCAATCATACCGGTATTTGAATTTCCATTAGTAAAATTAATGCTTGATGTTTCTCTTGTTGTTGTTGATGTGTTGCTTAATGAACTGATTGATGAACATTCAGAATCGGAACGTTTACGTTGTTTTTTTGTTTTACGTTCATGATTATTTGATGAAACCAATGTGTTTATATCAAATGAAAGCTTATTATTATTATTATTACGATGATTATTATTATTGTTGTTAAATGTGGAATGATTTTTGACATGATGATTATTATTCGATCGTTGTTGATGTTGTTGTTGTTGTTGATTATTGCTATTATTATTATTATTTGATTTGACTAAATTGAAACAGGAGTATTTTTCTTGAAATTGTTGATAATAAGCATAGAATAGGCTACGGCTTGTAAAATCATTTTTATTTAGGCCAAATTCGGGCGATAGAATATTATCAATAGAGAATTTCAATGCACGTGTTGTCTGTTCAACGATAGAATTTGCAGCAGCAGCGGCTGCAACAGCTGCCTGAACAGCAGCTACTGTTTGTGATGTAGTTTGCGATGTTGTCGTTGTCAATGATGATGAAGATTGTGTTGAAGATGAAAGAGTTATAGTATTCGGACTAAGGCTTTGTAATTTTTCCAATGGTGATGATCCTAAAGCCGTTGGCGGACTTTTTGGACTTTTCACTCGAATTTGATGAGAATTTTGGCCAAAATGTTGATTATGTTGGTTTCGATTATGATGGCCAGTTAATGCTAATGGTTGTGGTGGTGAAATCGATCCTGGTCGTCCCATTGTGATTGCTGTGTTGACAATATTATTATCGTCTGATTCGTTCGAAGTCTGTTGAACAAGTGGTGAAAATGAAATCGGTGTTGGTGACTTTGGTGATTCTGGCAAGGAACTTGTTGTTGGACAAGGTGAGGCCGCGTTCTCAGAGGCGGACACCGCCGCGGCGGCTGCTGCAGCTGCAGCTGCTGCCTTAAGAAATAAGGTAGCGTCCTCCATCGCTGACTTAGCTGTTGTTGTTGTTATTGTTGACTGTTGTTGTGATTGCTGTTGTTGATTATGATGATGATGGTGGTTATGGATCTGAGATGAATAGCTATTCAATAAATGTTCAATTGAACCGCTATTGATTGGGCTATTAGTGGTCGTTGTTGTTGTTGCAGCAGCTGCGGCTGCTGCTGCTGCTGTTGTCATCATCAACGATTGAAACGATGAATGATGGTGATGATTGAAAGATGACTCGGATGTTGATAATGATGAATTTCTTGATGTTATATCTAAAGCCATATTTCTTTGCTTTAAAAGCAAATATGGCCCAAACAGATTCTCGTATAACCAAATTTTGACGGTTTTTTTCGATCGGGGTTCTAAATGTTAAGAAACCCGATCCAAAGGATTGCAAAAAAAATATGAATAAATAAATAGATAATTCTTCTGGAATGTATGACAGATAATGAAGATGAACACTGTATAATCAATAAGTGTTTAATCAATCAAATTCTATGGATTTTTAAATTTTATTCGAATAAATCACAAACACAAAAAACGAAAAAAAAATCTCATTTGATTAATTTAAAAATTAATCGAATATTTTCAAATTAATGATGATGAAGATGAAAAACGAATGTTGATGAAGAGATCAATAATTTAAGTGAATGATTTTTACGAAGAAAAACAATCAACTACAAATAAAAAACAAATTGACTTTTTTTTTGAATATGAAAAAACATGGGTTGATTTTTAGAAATGAATTTGATGATAATTAAAATGACGATGATGATGATGATCAGAATAGACAATAGTGAGAAAAACTTTTCCACAACAACAACACATTTGAATTGTTGTTGTTGTTGTTTCGGTTGCGAATAGATCAAATGTATTTCGAACAAACGTTCTGGAATGGAAATGAAGATGCCAAATTGAGAGTTGTTGTTTTTTGTCTGTTTGTTTGTTTGGTTATTTGTTTTTGGATGATGATTTAATATAATAATGGCTATATTCTCTTCAAGCACATAGGGCAACTTTGAAAAAAAAGAGAGTGAATGAATGAGATAATGTGAGAGAAAGAAGGAGTCAAGTCAAGTCAATCACATTCTTCTTTCTATCTATCTATCTATCTGGGTGTGTGTATTGGTGTGTTTAGAAATGTCGACAACATTGTAATGATGATGATCATCATCAATATCTTCATATTGTTGTTGGTATGTTTATAATATAAATTTTAGCTTGTTGAATTTATAAGATAGGTAAAGATATTTTTATTATAACTGGTTATGGTAGGGTAGCAGCAATAACAAGAATGATTTTTTTTTGATCAATATATCAGTTTTCACCATATGTTTGTTTGTTCATATGTTTGAATTCTATGGATATTCAATATAACTTTTCATCTCCTGTTTTTTTCCATCTCTTTTTCTCTCTCTCTCTTTTTCTCATAATCAAAAACAAAATTCATTGATTGAATATATACCATCATCATATACATGATTATACATACCAAATGAACAAAAAAAAAGCTGTTTCTTTTTTTATGGTGGTGGTATATATTTTTGTAAAAAAAACCTTTTCTCTTCTTTCACTGTATTTGTTAAAATAATGATATTTTCATCATTTATTTTCTTTCCTTCCCATGATTATCATCATCAATGTATGTGTTGTATGTATCCAAATAATATATAATTCAACATCTCTATTGTCAAATCAAATAGTTTTCATATTGTAGATTTTCTTCTTTCTTTTTTTGCTACACATTTTGATATTGTACTTGATGTGCGTGTTTGTGTGTGTGTGAAAATGCCAACCCGCCATTTAATATATTCAATGAAGCAAATGGGCGTCTTCCAATTAGTTATTGGTTCAACCTTAATTTTGTTGTTGTTGTTGTTGTTGAATTCAGCTATATAATGATAGAACAGATAGGATATTCTCAATGTAATTTTGTTGTTTTGGGGAAATTTTTCTGGTGAGATTTTTTTTTTGGTTGGTTGCTAGCCAATCAACCAACCAGCCAGCCAGCCACTACACATGCACATATATTAGACCAAAGACAACAAAAAACTGGTTTCATTTTACTTTTTTGAATTTTTTTTCCTAATATTCAAAAAAAAACATTCGAATCGTAGTGGTATAGAATAATGTTGTTGACTATATACGACAAGTATTATATGGGAGTGTACCAATAATAATATTAGCTTCCTTTTCGGTTAGGTTCGGTTCGGTTGTTTGAAACGATTACAATTCTATGATGTGAAGTTCCGATACGATGATGATGATGATGATGATGACGTACTTCGAATCAAAATAAGAAGAAAAAAATATTTGATCGGTTCCAAACATTAACAACAACAACAACATGGTTGATTGGAATAATATTGAGTTTGACATGCACCAATGTCAATTTTTGGTGATTGAAAAATGATGATGATGATCATAAATACAAACATCATCATCATACACAAAGCGCACCAATATTTGGCCAATTTCATACATCATCAAACTTTTTTTGTTGTTGTTGTTGTATGTTCTTCATGAAACATTGAGCTGCTGTTCTTTCATTGTTTCTTTCTTTTTTACATTAACAATATGGCCATGGATCCTAATGTTTTTGTATTCAATTTCCTTCAGAAATATATAATATGATAAAATTCAATTATCTGGATTTAGAATGGAAAACATTTATGACATTTTGATCAAGTAAATATTCATAGGAAATTTCTATAGACTGTAGTATCTGATAATTATTTAATTTTGGATACATAAATCATAAACAGAAAAACATCATATAATAAAACAAATCGGACATTATTAACATCATCATCATAATAATTATCAGCAAAGATAATGATTTTCTTTCCTGATGTTATGCAAAACGATAATGACCATTTACAACAACAACAAAACGCACATGACATGTTCATCATCATCATCATCCTGGAAACATGAAACTTTAACATTAAAAGAATGAAGTGAAGAAAAAAAAATTAAAAAATTAACGACAAACAATGATTAAGTAATTTGATCATGAACTTGATCTCAACAATAATTTCTCCCGTTCTTTTTATATAATAATAATAATAATAATAACTTCTCACATACACTTTCATCATCATTATCATCATATAAATGGAAACTTGAGGAATCTTTGCTTACACTCTAATTCGTGAATTTTTATTTTGTTTCATTTTGTTCTTTTTTTCAAAGATAAATAGCTCATCATCATCATCATCTTTATTATTAAAGTCATGTCACGATGTCATTATAAGGACAACTATTAATAATGTTTATTCTATCTATAGATAGGATCGTCAAAATAATTTGAAATGACTGGCTTCAACAACGAAAAAAAAATGCCATGTGTTTAATTGTCTGAGACGATCTCATATTTTTACTTTGATGATAATAACTGAGAGAATATCTATTTTAACTATAATATAATGTTTTGTACACTTTTCATTCAATATTTTTACCATCATATATGATGTGAACAAATGAGAGAATCGCACACACACATTGGAGTTGATTTTTTTTTTTGTTAAAAAAATATGATTCACTAATTGATACCTATAGGGTGAATGAATGTAAGAAAAATTTCTTAACAAAAAAAAAGAAGTTAATTCTATTTTTACGGTCATTGGCTTTAACATTGACCGGAATGATGATGATGATAGAACATTTTGCCCGATAAAAAAAAGGTGAATAAAGATGAAAGAAAAACCAAATGAAATAATGAAAACATTATTTCACTCCTCTTCGTCCGCCTCATCATCATCATCATCATCATGATTTTCTTTACAAATCAATTAAAATCAGGATTCATTTTTTTTACCATCATTGTTATTATTCACTTTACATTCAAACATCATTAATCCAAATGGTGTTTTTAGACATGAATCTATAAGAAATGAATATTAAAATGTCTGATACGATTAATTTATCTTTTTTTTATATATGTAATGTGAAAGAAAATCAATTTCTCATTCGATATATACATATTTTTTTGTGGTTAATATTTTTTCTTTCTGATCTCCCCACACCTCTTACGTTGCTTATCATAGTAAATTAATTTCTTTCTTTCTTTCATTTTACATTCATCAATCTATTGTTTAGTCAATTATTCAATTATCTTAGTATTCAATTGATTTGAATGAAAATGTTTCTTTCAAAACAAAAAAAACAACAACAATAACAGCAACAGGAAAAAATCAATTTAATTAATCAATGATTTGGCTATATCGTTAAGCGAAACTTGAAAAAATTTTCATGTAAGACATAAAAAATAATATCTTTTTTTTTCGTTCGGTGATAATCAATCAATTAATGTGACCTCAATCTGAACCTCACAGTTTACTATATAGTTTTTCTTTTAAATAATAAAGTAATTTTGTTTTTGTGTTTTTTTTTGGAAGAAAAACTTCATAAGAATATATTAATTATAAAATTATATGATAAAGTTACAATTACATTTTATTCATTTATCATCTTTGAAATAAAAATTTGAAATTCAAAATGAACACATAGGAAAAAATTTATTCATTAAAGATTGAATAGAAGAATCTATTCATCCATATCATTATTATTACAACAAAATAATCAAATATAATAGATCGATTGATTGATAAATTGATCGATCTAAGGTTTTAATATATAATGGACAACCCTTTATTTATAGGAGTGGTTCGAATATAAATGGTAAAAATAAAAAAAAATATAATTTGAATAGCCACAGATTTGACAGTAGATTTGATTTATAATAATAGCATAATACTATAGTATGAAAAATATGAAAATCCATAATCTGTTTATCATCATCATCATCTTTTTCGACATACATACGTATAAACGTTATTTAATTTAATATATCTAGGATAACCAATTGCTGGTTTTTTCTTCTTCTTCATCATCATCTTTATTTTTGACATAAGGATAGATTGACTATATATTTTATTTTTTTTTCGGTCTGATACAAAGTAATTGCTTCGTGTTGTTTTTCATATTTTTTTCTGTTTGTTTGGTAATAATCAAGCTATTATTATTATTTATTGGGGAGAGAAAAGATGGATGGAAAAAAAATAAAAATCTACCTTTTTATTAATAATGTCTATTTTTTTTGATGATAAACCTATGTAATTAATATTAGCTTGCAAAATTTTTTTGTGTGTGTGTGGATTATAAACATGATAAATGTGTGTGTGTGAGATGACCACCATTCACCACTATAGTATTAGATATTATCATCATCATCATGGGTGATATTCTCAAATTCACCTGTCAAACAAATGATAATTTTTTTTCATGCTTATATTTTAAACTTTTTGGAAATCTTCTTTAGAATTTTTTTTCATTATTTTGTTGTTGTTCGAAAAGGAATTTTTTTTCATTCAAACAAAATTCAATGAATATTATTTTGTTGGCTAAGATTTATTTGCATTTTTTGTTGTTGTTGTTCGTTTTGATGGTTGTTTTCTTCAGTAATCTATATTCTTCATGACATTATCATAGATTCTTTTTGTTGAATGATTACCCACACACATTTACACACAC